TCCTCTACTCTTTACTTTGTTTATCAATGACATTACTTCGTGTTTTTCTCATGCTAGTTGTTTGCTATATGCCGATGACCTGAAGATCTACTCAGTGGTAAATAACAGGCTGGATAAGCTGAAACTTCAATCGGATGTTGAGAATCTTCACTCATGGTGTATTAGATCGCATCTTTGCTTAAATATAAATAAATGTTGTCATGTTAGTTATTCGAAATTGCGCTCCCAATTTGAAAGTTCATACAGAATATCTAACTGTGTTTTACGCAGTGTTAATGAGATTAAGGACCTTGGGGTTATAATCGACTCTAAATTTACTTTTAATAATCATGTTAATTTCATTATTTCGAAATCTTATGCTATGCTTGGTTTCGTTCGGCGGAACTGTACTGAATTTTCTGATCCTTATACGTGGAAATTGCTCTACACCTCATTTGTGCATTCACATCCTGAGTATGCTATAATAATTTGGCGGCCTTTTCATCAGTTTAACATTGACAGGATTGAACGCGTTCAAAAGGTTTTCCTTAAATATGCTTTGCGATCTCTACATTTTACTGATCCCATCCCGTCATACAATTCTCGATTGCTTCTTTTAAATTTAAAAACTCTGGAAAGCAGGAGGTCTGTCCTCTCTTTAACTTTTGTTCTTAGCATTATTCAGGGTGTTCTTGACTGTCCGGCCTAAGGGAACTACGTAGTAACTATCCGTTTTATGGCAATAATAATAGAACTATCTATGCCCGTAATGCACCTCTTACACGTGCCTTAATTGAACTTAACCAGATCTCAACTTTTATCGAGCTTGATTTTTCTTTACAAAGAAATATTTTTGTCAATCTTTTGAACTCATTTTTTAACTAATGTTGTATTTTTACTTGTGTGAGTAGCCTGTAAGAATTATTGTTCATAGGCTACACAATAAATAAATTAATTAATAAATAAATTATCATGGCTGCTTATCGGCGATGCCCATGAGAAGTGTATTCATGGTGGCATTCAAGGGATGATGCAGTATTTGCGCCAAAGTTTCTGGATCGTACACATTCGCGCATTGGCCAAGACGTTTATCCATCGATGTGTTGAATGCCGCCGTCATCAGCGAATCACCCAACAACAACAGATGGCTTCGCTCCCGAGATCAAGAGTATTGGTTGCACCACCGTTCACGTACACAAGCCTCGATTACTGCGGCCCATTTAATGTGCGACTGGGTGGTAAGAGGTCGAACGTTTTGACCAAGACTTATGGTGCGATTTTCGTCTGCATGGCCTCCAAGGCCGTGCATATAGAGCTGGCGGAGAATTTGACAACCAGGGTATTTATTGACGTATACGACCGCTTTACAAGCCGACGAGGTATTTGCGCCACACTTTACAGCGATA